TTTACACAAGGAACCGAATGCAGATTGCATCATCTTTTTATTCTCTTTATCATTCTCTTTTTGTCTATATTTTTAATAAAGAAGAAAGAGGGCCCGATAGCGTTGTTTAATCTTGCCACGTCGTTCGTTTAACGTTGCATCACGCGCACGTTGAAGCTTCATGCGTGCACAGATGGGCATCTATTTAGCGCGAATGACAGTTGAATTGTGCGATATCTCTACTCAACAGGACATTGAGTGCGCGTGGTATGAAATTTTCCATTTTATCGATCTGTATTTATAAATTTTATTTTCCTTCTTGTGGGAGGGATAGGGTGTAGGGGAGTTGTTTAGCTTTTCCATGATATTCGTTCATTGTTTGCTCGCACGCAACTTAAGGTAAGCTAATTGTTACAAGCAAGAACCACATTCCCAGACTGGCCTGGTTTTCAATGAAAACTAGTCACCTTCGTCGTGGCTAATTCCGAAGAAATGTGCTCCTGTCCTGTCTGCATATGCGGCGGGTCGATCGTGTCGGCTGAACTTGCAGCACGTTTATTGTGTGAGCGGCAGAAATGGTGAGAGACAGCGAATGCATTGTGCCAAGTGTGTGTGTGTGACACACACATTTCCAATTAGTCGCCTTAATTGGGGCGACCAACCGTTCGTCAATGTAAGTTCGCCCGTCCTGCTCGTACAAGGCAACCAGGTGCATCCCCCTCTCACCCTGCGAAACGGGTCTGTAATGAAGAGAGGGGCTGAAGTGGGCGCCAACTGGGACTCTGTCACTAGGGCGTAAAAAGTCTGACAATCAGGGTGAAATTGAGCTTTTGTAATGTAAGGGCGTTCGCACTGTAGATCACAACGCATACCGAGTAGTAGCTTGTCGAGGAATCGTTCGGAAGTATCCGTTTGTGTCTTCCATGATGTATATAAGTGTCTGTTAGGTTCTCCCAATGTTGGTCTCTCCCTTGGCCTATTGTTCATGACGTCCTTGTGCTTGCGTTAGACAACTCCCCTGATCAGTACCACGCCACGCCACCGACAATTAGGCTCCGGCGTCCAGCGCAGCCGTAACATTAGAAACACCACAATACGTGTAGTGAGTCAAATCTTGATACAGGCGCACGCGTCTGCAGATGTGTCGAGAGGCAGTTCAATATTGTGATATCTCTGCTCAAGAGATTTCACCTCTGGTTGGTAGAATAGCATTAGGAATAATTATTCTTGAAGTTCAACGTCCCCAAAATAATGATAGATGCCATAGAGGGGGCTTCGAAAGTTTCAAACTTTTAGGGTAAATGCCGTGTGCCGAAGCTAAGCAAATGGGTCTGAAGCATTTTCCCCTCCTTCGAAATTGGGGCTGTACTTCAACCTCGTGACTTGTGGTACAGCAGCCGAATGCCTTGACCACTAGACCAAGGTGGCGGGTTACCATAGCATTTAATGAAATTCAAATTATCCCTGCTTTACATCGGTCACAAGTGTGCCGCTTTGTTATAAAATATCACGCAACAGGCGTTCGGTGCGTTAAGGAAAGTTACTTACGTGGTCGACTGTGTACGCCAGACAGTTAGCGTCGAGCCATCCATACGTAAAAGTTTGGATCATTCGTTCTGTTGCGCCCAAGCGAAGAAACATAGTAGGTTTTCTGCCGGAGAAGAATGAATAGTAATTACGCACCAACGTATTTTGCAGCAAAAAGAATTTAACGCGCTGCAAAAACTGTCAATTTTAACTTGGCGAGATGGATCTAATAATCGCGTAGTCGAGTATAATTAGTGCTGTAGAATGACTGCTCCTACTATCGGCAATATTATGCTCAATGCGCCGATTCTTCTCCGATCACCGAAATAATGCACTCGGTCAGTACTAAGCGGGGAGACCACCTGGAAATTGCTGATGACATCATACTTTTGCTCTTTATGTCTCCTCTTTGTGGAGAAAGAATCGAGCAAGAAGTAGGGTGTCGTTTACTTATGCGACCTCATTGGCTCCACATTTCATCACGCGCACATGAACTTATAGCGAAACGATACTTTATGCGTGCACACGTGGCTTCAAATGTGGCACCGAGTGCGCACGCTATCATCTTTTCATTTCTTTTTTGTTTTAGTGAAAAAAAGGAAGAGAAGAGAGAGGGGCATATTCACCCTTTCCACATCATTCATTACTCGTTTGATCATGTGAACTTTGCGTAGCGAAAGGAAAGAAGGAAAATGTGTGTGGTGAATCGAAACTGTGTGCATGCGCACTCGTGCAAGAATTTGGCCGAATTCGAAGTTAAATCTGTTATGTCAATGCTCGAGAGATTTAACTGACTGTTAGTAGTATGGCATTAGGAATATAAATTTTGGGTCTGACAACCATATGAATATGTTAGATACCGTAGAGAAGGGCTTCGGAAATTTCAACCGTTTGGGGGTAATAACGTGCGCCTATTTTTAAACTAGGAACACGGGTCTGAACCATTCTGGCTTCTATATTAATTGCGGCCACGAAACCACGCGCCTCCGCAGGCCAGTGCCTCTAGACCACCGTAACTGGTTACAATATGGTTACGAGTAACTTATTTAATAAATTAAATACGATGCACTGTGCTCGGCGAACAAGATGGCGACAGTTCATAAACAACCAGCCACCAACGTCGTCTTTCTCTTTCTTCCAAACAGGCTGTGCCGGCTGTTGCGTATCAATATCATTACTGGGAATCCAGGTAGGCCCTGATTTTTAATGGTAACTTGTGTGCCACTCGGCTACGAAAGCCTACGAAAAAAAATTTTTGTAGGTTACGGAAAGGTTCTTACGCGCACGGCTGGTGGCGAAGAAACAATGTGCGTTTTCTGGCAGAGCACAACAGACGATAGTCACGCACCTACGCCGTTTTTCGCCAAAAGATTTTAACGCACTGCACAAACCATCAGGCTTAACCTGGCGAAATGGACCTAATAGTCACTTAGTGGGGTAAAAACGTTGTTATATGATTGCTCCTACCCTTTACCATACCAAGCTGAAAGCGCCCGTTCTCGTCCGGATGGCGAACTTAAGTAGCAAAGTGCTCGGTATGTACTTTGGGAGGGAGACCACCTGGAAGCAGCGAGTCTTGAATGAAACATCTTTTTTTTTCCTTTCCTTTTTTGCAGAGAAAGAAGAGAGGGAGAAGGAGGAGAATGGAAGGGTTTAACTTTGGCCAAAAGAGTTGGTTCATTAGTTCCTCGTTTTACAACGCGCCCAAGTCCGCAGATACATCTTTAGCCAGATCGCCGCCACATTGCCTAGTGGGCGGCGGTTATGCCGTGTGTGGCAACCCACTCGAACGTGCAATCCTCCGTGTTTCCATGAAAAAGAATTGTACGGTTAAGTCGTTTTTGTATTCGTTCTGGCATGGTGAATTTTGTCTTGAATATTGCGTCTGCGAGACGTCCTGAAAGGTTGGCATCTGCTCAGGATCAAATACAATAATATGCGACGACGGGAACGTGCCGCGAGTGGCTGGTGTGCTATGTTGTCGGAACTCTTTCCGTTATAAAAAACTAATTATATTAACACCCGTTCAAGCAGGCAAAGCAACTGCTGGCACCCTTTAAGCTTAGAACTTTTTTGAACTGTAATAGTTAAGTTCATTTTTTCAGTGGGGATTCTTTGTGCTGTTGCAGCGATACCACCTTACTTGCGGCCATGCGTGAGCGAACAGCTGCGACTTTTTCGCGATCACGGTATTGGTAAGTTGCTAACAAACTAATCAGTATCTTCTATTCGATCTTCCATGAACCCTTTTAGTCACTGGTATATTGCCCACCGGCATGGATGAAATTGAGCCTGGTGGTTCTGGTACTCAAAAAGCGGCCCGGAAGATCACATGCCAGGACAACGCTCTTTCTTTTGAGAGTCGTGGCGTTTGGTTAGACTGCGGCGCCGAGATATCAAAGATAGTGCATGCATGGTGAAATTACATAGGTCAAGAACTTTCGAACAAAAGTTTCGCAAGCCTTTGCCGCAGACATCAACGTACACAGACGATTAAAACGAGAAAAGGTGAGGAGAAGACAAACAACAAAAACTAAAAGCTCAATATAAATTTTTCTTCAGATGGTCGTAATTATATAATCAAAATAATTTTAGTTAACTTTACGGTGTATCTAATACCTGGCTAATTTGTTGATTGTGTCAAATTTTTCCAATTTTCCTTTAGTGTCATTTGTGATTAGGGGGTGGCATCTAGGCGATTTGCTCTCGGAGATTACGTTTAGATCAGCGTGGTCTCCTTTGGTTCAGCACATTGACAGATCAATGAGGGATCGCTCTTGTATCCGTGGTGATTTCGTGCCTACCCTCAGTCGTTTTCCTATTTTTCACGTGCGATTAGTATGTACTAGCTTGCAGAACTGGTCTAGATTTAGAATGTGTAGATAGGCGCTCTTGCGACTGCTTTTGCTGGAGCACGGCCTGTGAAACCTCGCCTTTGGTGACGGTGAACGCGACATGCTAAGAAACAAGACGCGGTACTGTACGGCTGGCAAAGCTATACTTCCAGAGCTGCTGTGTCACTGCAGAGACGTTTGATGGCTCGGCAACGTGAGCTTTTCGAACTGCTTTGCACGTGAATACTTGACTCACAACTGCCCCTGCGAAGTGTTTTTTGTGCATATTGTATTGTTGGTCATTTGGCTAATCAAACAGTTTTGCTTCCTCAAGAACAGGGTTTCATTTGTTTTCTTTTTTCTCACGCATTGAATTAGCAAGCCTCATTAAAAATGCGCATTACCAACAAGTAAATAGTCGGCAAGTGAAAACATTACATTTCGCACCAATTAGGGCAAATGCGCTATGTCACATCTGCTTTTGGTGGCGACGTCATATTTTATTTTAGTTTTCTGGTAGTTTACGTAGATGGCGAACGTTGCAACGAGCCGCCGACTAATGGATCCATGAAGCTGTATGGAAGTTACGCTACTAGTTTACGTATACTATGGTTCTTGACTATTCTGCCGATGAGGTTCCCAGCGGACTCGAGCCTTTGATTGGCTGAAGAGTCATATATTGTTCATTTTATCAAGTAGTTTGTCTCCAAGTTGTACTGCCTATGTGAAATCATCTCATCGTTTCCAAAGGTAACTAGCTAAATTAAGAGATAGAGAAGCAACCGCCACAACGTGCTCTAATTATGTTTCGCTCTACGAAGATATTACCTATGGGGTGTACTACATCGCAAAACTTGTCACACCCGGTTCCTGACGACGTGAAAAATTGTCTTCCTTTGCTAAATACTTCACACACGAAGTGACCAACTCAGTTTTTCTGTTTCGCGATTCGGCTTCTATATCCCACATGTTGTACAATGTATCCCGCTGTCCAAATTGATTTGTACACTCGCGGCAAGTATTCCGCCAAGTTATTTTCAAGAAAACTTTGGCGAGTATTCGGGCTACACAAATCCTAAGGGCAAAACAATTTCAACGCGTCAAGCCAGTTACCCGGCTGAGAAGTGAGCGGTTTCTCGTCCGCTTTCATGCAGTAACATAAACTACACTGATAGCCATGTTGACCAGAGCTACAAGACTGATGTTTCACGAAACCCATGGTACTAAAACGTAATAGGAAAATGAAGCGAAAACAAAGGCGGCTACACGAGTGGTGGTTAAATGTTTCGCAACAGACAAGGCTGTAACTCACCGATCATGGTTGGTCATAAGTAGAAAAATGTCAGCTTATCATTTCCCCGAGTCGGAGACTGCCCAATCAAGGTATAGGTTGGCACATGTCGACGTGTAAATTGTTACGCAACACAAACTATGCACAGCATGAAACAACAGCAAAAGCTCCATGTTTCGGGATGCGTGCCGTATAGTAATCGCACAGCCCCCACCCCCCACCACCAGTTTTCTTTATTTTTCTGTAATATTTAGAACAAGCAAATAAGCACAGTGGCTCATCGTTGACCTCTCGCTGGTTGATATTGTCATAAAACAGAAAAAAATACCTGTAGTCCTACTTAACACATACTAAATTGTTAGAAAACGCCACTCATCTAAGTCGAGAGGCCGGCGCAGGCCGGTGGCATCGAGGGTGCTGGTGGCGTGGTCGTCAAACTTTTGGAGATGGCGGCAGCAGCCAGAAGATGCGATGAAGCACGTGGTGTCTTCGTCGTCGTCGAGTGCGTAGTGACGACGACCACAGCCGGTTGAGACGAGAACGAAGCCCTCGTCGTGTTCGTGGAGACGACAGCGCACTCGATGTAGATCGCAGGACGGCTTCCGGGGCCACGCCGCTGTTATCGACAAGGTGATTCCGGAAAGAGCGGAACATGATTTTCGCACGGCTACAGGGCTTGGCGGCAAGTCGTGGTGCTGTCAGATGAGACCATGAAGAACACAGCTTTGCGCTGGAGCTGCCGAGAAGTGACGCGTAGCTTGGTTGCGGATTGTTTTCCGCTACAATTTTGGCAGCGTGGATGTTGTGCTGCACACGGTCTCTGGCATGTATGACGCCGCAGCGCAGGCACGGTTGGTCTCGCGAGCAGGTCGCGCTTGCGTGCCCAATATGGTGGCATTGGGAACACTGCAGGGGCTGGGGCTGGCGAGGATGTAAGGCACGCGCAAACTGGGGTGGGGTGTTTTGCCTTTTGCTGTGCGGCCACAGGCGTTGAGAAAGAAACAAAGCTGGTGTGTCCCTTGCAAGAAGTCACAGCCAAAGCACGAAAGGAGGAAAGTCTGTTTTGCCTCGTCCCCTCGCTCGTAGGATGGTAGTTGATGACGGTGTCATGGTTGCCGGTCACCTTCTATCGGGTTTGTTTTTCAAGCGCGCAAGCTTTCTTGGTTCTTGCTGCTGCTTGGGCACCGGTGTGGATGCCGAGGTTGCCTGGACGGAATCCTGTTGATATTCCGTCTTCCTGTGGCCTTTCGACGACGCCATATGTAGTCCTTAAAAAGGCTGCGTGCAAAAGGGCGTTGGAGCGAATACGACAGAAAGAATAGTCGCGCAAAATACAAACCTCCTTTTTCCTTGCAAGCGTACGGTCCTCTCGCTTGTAGACTCAGGTTTACAAAAGGAACCGAATGCGCATTGCATCATATTTTTATCCATTTTCTCATTCTCTTTTTGTCTATATTTTTAATAAAGAAGAAAGAGGGCGTGATAGCGTTGTTTAATCTTGCCACGTCATTCGTTTAACGTTGCATCACGCGCACGTGGAAGCTTCATGCGTGCACAGATGGGCATCTATTTAGCGCGAGTGACAGTTGAATTGTGCGATATCTATACTCAACAGGACATTCATTGCGCGTGGTAGATTTCCGATGGATTGATTGATTGATATGTGGGGTTTAACGTCCCAAAACCACTATATGATTATGAGAGACGCCGTAGTGGAAGGCTCCGGAAATTTAGACCACCTGGGGTTCTTTAACGTGCACCCAAATCTGAGCACACGGGCCAGATTTCCGATGGAGGCGGAAATGTTGTAGGCCCGTGTGCTCAGATTTGGGTGCACGTTAAAGAACCCCATGTGGTCGAAATTTCCGGAGCCCTCCACTACGGCGTCTCTCATAATCTTATGGTGGTTTTGGGACGTTAAACCCCACAAATCAATCATCAATTGTGCGTGGTATGAAATTTTCTATTTTATCGATCTCTTTTTATATATTTTCTTTTCCTTCTTGTGGAAGAGATAGGGTGTAAGGGGAGTTGTTTATCTTTTCAATGCCATCCATTCATCGTTTCATCACGCGCACAATTAGCATACCTTGAGGTGCGTGAGAGAAAACACTGAACGAATTGCATGGAAAAGATAACAACTCCCCGACACCCTCTTCTTCTACAAAAAAGAAAAGAAGCTTGATAAAAAAGATCAATAAAATAGAAAACATGGTACCATGCGCTGTCAGTTTTTTGTAGAGTAGAGTTATCGCACAATTGAACTGTCATGCGCGCTAAATATATGCCCATCTGTGCACGCATAAAGCTTCCACGTGCGTGTGATGCAACGTTAAAAGAATGGCGTTACAAAATTAGGCAACGCTATTGCACCCTCTTTCTTCTTTGAAAAAAATATAGACAAAGAGTGAATGATGAAAGAAGAAAAAAATGATAAAATGCGCATTCGGTGCCTCATTCAAACCGGACACACACGATTGCAAGCACATGCGATTGCAAGCAAAAAGGATTTGTGCATTTTGCGCGGCTATCTTTTCCGTCGTATTCGCTCCAACGCTCTTTTGCACGCAGCCATATTAAGGGCTACAAATTGCGTCGCCGAAAGGCTGCCACATGAAGAAACATCAACAGGATTCCGTCCTGGCTACCTTGGCATCCACACTGGTGCCCACGCAGCAGGAGGAACAAAGGACGCCTGTGCGCTCGAAAACAAATCCCATCGAAAGAGACCGGTAGCCATGACACCGCCATCAACATTCTGCCTCCGAGCGAGGGGAAGAAGCAAAACAGACTTTCCTCATCTACATCCATGGCCCTGACTTCCTGCAAGGGACACAACACCATCTTAATTCTTTTCGCAATGCCTACCGCTGTCCGGCAAAAAGGACCCTTACGAATTTTGCGCGTGCCTTACATCTTCGCCGCCCCAGCCCCGGCAGTGTTCCTGCTGCCACCGCATCAGGCAAGGAACCGCAAGCTGCTCGTGAGACAAACCGTGCCTGCACTGCGGTGTCACACACGTCAGGGGCCGAGTGCAGCACAACATTCCCAATGGATAAATTGTAGCGAAAAACAATCCGCAACTGAGCGGCGCTTCATTTCTTGGCAGCTCCAGCGCATGGCCGCGGTCACCATGGCCTCATCTGACAGCACCGTGACTTGCCGTCAAGCCTTGCAACACACCAGGTGGCTTGGAGTCGTGCGATGACCATCATGGATGGCTATATCTGAAATGAGCTCGTCGGTACCAGCGGCGTGGCCTTGGACGTCACCCTGCGACCTACAACAAGAGTGCCCGTCGTCCCCCCGAAGAGGGCAACGGCTTTGTCCTCGTCTGAACCGGCTGTGATCGTCGTTACTACGCGTTCTACGATGACGCAGACACCATGTGCTTCATCGCATCTGCTGGCTGCTGCCGCCGTCTTGAAGAGTTCGACGACCACGCCACCCGCATGCTCGACGCCACCGACCTACATCGGCCTCTTGACGAACACAAAGATTGGCGCAATACTTGCCGCATTACGCGTGCAGTGATCCCGATGTTTCTAGTCAACTCTCCTCAGCTACAATGTTGTGATGCCTTCCTACTCTCCATGAGAGCCTTCTGAAGTGGCGCAACCATCGGGGTCAACTGGACTTGCTTTTAAGTTTGGAAGACCCAATTTTCTAAATGCCCGCGTTAATTCGTGCGCATCCCTTGTACCTTGACTTTCTCGGTCAGCTACACGTTGCGTTGGTTCTGGCGCGTGCCGGGGGAGGAGAGTCGAACGAGTCGCATTGCCATTTTTTTCGCCCTCTCTTCTCTTGCCATCTAAAACCTATGCCTTCTATTACCATAGCACCAACCCTGTGCCTGCCTGAGAAGTTGTCATCTCAAAGAAAACTGAAGAAACTTTGAAATTCAAAAAAACTTCGTGTTTAGGAAGGACCTAAAATATTGTTGAGGATGTAATAACTGTTTTCGTGGCTCTAGCAGTAGGAAATAATCGACGAGACGGCACTTCAGATGTGCTGCTGTTACAGACGACGCACCCTAATGACAGTGACGTCACCGTGTTCACTCGGCGTCTCAAGACGCCCGTAGTCCACAGCCACTGTTTTTTCACCGAAAAGTGATGATGATGTTGAGTAGTTTTTAGTGACGCAAGGGCCAATTGATGGCCAAAGAGCGCCATTTCAATTGACTACAGATATGAACAATGATATGGTGCGTGGCTGTAAAGGGGCCTTAAAATTCGTCGCTCTAACGTGGGTTAAAACATGAAAGTAATAAAATCATGACAGTGGCGTGACATATGTGTAGTGATAGCGGATGGCAAAATGTCATGATAATAAAACCATGATGAAGATGTAGTCACCGCAGCCACGACCACTCTATAGGGGTCGTGCTACGGATGACCTAGGAATATCGGGTGAAAGCTTTGCACATCTTTTAAAAACGTAAAAAGTGTTTGCAGTTTAAAAAGCGGATTCCTACCGATGAGCATCCCAGGGTGTAGAGGGAGCTGCTGTCGGTAGGGCAGTAAAAAGTGCTTTTTTCTTAGAGCATCTAGCTCATTGCACTGGACGAGATTGTGGAGAACCGTAAGGGGCTGTCCACATCTCTCACAATATGGTGAATCACTGGTAGACAGGAGAAATGAATGTGTAGAATGTGTATGTCCTGTTCTAAGCCTTGTTAGTATTACTTCTGTGTGTCGTGATTTTGATAGTGGCGGCCAATAACCTAGTTGCGGCTTAATAGCATGGAGTTTATTATCTGTGTGTTTATCCCACATGCTCTGCCAATACCCCCTGAGCTTTCGTTTTATAAAAGGTTTTAAGTCAATTGCAGGGACTGGTGTTGATGCATTGGCAGTAGTGACATTAGCGCAAGCAGCCAGATTGTCGGCCAAAACGTTCCCTTGTATTTCACGGTGCCCTGGAACCCAGCAGACAACGACATGCTGTTTTGATGTGTAGAGTGTGCACAGAAGTGAGTAGAGTGACACCAGCACGGAGTTCTTGTGTTTTTTAGGAGTTTTCAGGGCTTTGACCACGCTTAGGGAATCTGTGTATATTATCGCCTTTTGTAATTTTATCTGTTTTATGTGTTTTACGACCGCCAGTATTGCGTAAACTTCTCCTGTGAAAATTCTTGCATTAGGATGAAGAACGCCGGCCTCAGAGAAGGATTGACCTACCGCTGCGTATGAGACAGAAGTGTTTGACTTTGACGCATCAGTAAAGAACTCAGGGCATGTGTATTTATGTTGTAGTTCTAAAAAGTATGTATGTATGTGTGCAAGTGGTGCGTGCTTTGTGACATCAACAAAAGAAACATCACAGTCTATAAGCTGCCAATGCCATGGTGGCAGATATGTTGCAGGAGCCATCAAACTCGGTTCAAGAAGAGGCACACCTGTTTCTTCGGCCAGGCTCCTTACACGCAGCGCGTAGGGCTGCCTAAAGGAAGGACGATTCTCGAACAAGCCAGAACAAGACAAATCATTAATTGTGAATTGGGAAGGATGTTTCTTGTCTGCCTTCACCTTCAAAAAGTACAAAAAGGACAGGGAACATCTTTGTAGGTGGAGCGACCATTCATTCGAATCGACGTACAGGCTCTCCACAGGGCTGGTGCGGAAAGCACCCGTAGAGAGACGAATGCCTAGATGGTGGACAGGGTTGAGAATTTCCAAGGCTGATGGTGTTGCCGACTGATAGATTATAGCACCGTAATCTAGGCGTGTGCGTACGAGGCTTTTATATAAGTTAATTAAACATTTTCTGTCACTATCCCATGTAGTGTGTGACAACATTTTCAAAATGTTCATTGTTTTTAAGCACATGTCCCTTAAATACTTGATGTGTGGGATGAAGGTTAGCTTAGTGTCTAATATGAGACCAAGAAACTTGTGCTCGGTCTTCACTGACAGAGGTTGACCATGCAGCTCAACGTCGGGGTCAGAATGGAGGCCCCTCTTTCGGCTGAACAAGACACAAGTGCTCTTTTGCGCGTTGAGTATAAAACCATTCTCGTTTGCCCATTGAGATACCTTGTTCAGCCCCAGTTGAACTTGACGTTGGCACATTGAGATGCTGCACGATTTGTAACCAATCTGCACATCATCGACATATATGCAGTAAAAATTATTTCGTGGGAGAGACAGGTGCAAGGAATTCATTTTAACTATGAAAAGTGTGCAGCTCAATACACCTCCTTGTGGCACTCCTGTTTCTTGGACAAATACTCGAGATAAGACAGTGCCAACTTGGACACGGAATGTACGGTTGGACAGGTAGCTTTCGATATCTGTCAGCATTCTACCCCACACACCTAAATGTGACAGGTCTCGCAATATGCCGAAGCGCCATGCAGTGTCATATGCCTTTTCCATATCGAG